CTGCGGGGCGTGGCCAGGATGAGACCTCAGACAGGTGGGGCGGGTGGGGGAAGGCATCCCAACAGGCCACTGCTTGAAACGGGGGCCAGAAGAGCTGCCGACTGCTAACCAACTGCATCTTTGCCTTTTCTCTCCCTCGGCCTCCTCCTGCGGCTCTCGCTACAGAAGGTGAGTAGCGTGGATCCAACTCTCCCCCGTGCTCTTGGCTGTGGCCAGTGCTGGCTCGGCCCTGAGTGGTGCTGGGCCTTCCTGCCTCCCTGGGGAGAGGACGTGTGCAGGAGGCCCCTGCTCAGGCCCTTCACGGCCGTCCCAGTTCACCCACTCTCACCTGAGTCCAGGCCCCGTACCCCGTGTCCAGCTCTGCCCTCTCTGCCCTCCCTGTCCTGCTGAGCCTCCAGGGGATGCTGGGGTGGAGGGCCCACTAACAAGGAGTGGGTGGAACACACAGTGAAAGGGACACTAGGCCTCAGCCCAGCTCTGCCCCTCACCGGCTGTGTGGCACAGGCCAGTTGCTCAGCCTCTCTGTGCTTCCTTCCCTCGGGTCTAAAATGAGGGTCAGGCCAGCAGCCCTGCCTTCTTCAGAGGATGTGAGGATGATGGCAGAGGAGCTGGTGGATAGGAAACCTTTGTGAACTAGTCTTGGAGAGAGGCATGATGGGAGTGGCATCTGTAAAGAGGACCCCGCCCTGTCTTGGGGGTTGGTGTAAGAAGTGTGTTTTACTACAGTGATATGAAGTGGAGGGCACAGTGCCAGGGCCTGGGATGCCGGGCAAGGGCAGCGTGCATGGTGTGTCACTGCCCTCAAGGACTCTCAGTAAAGGCAGGGGAGACCATGTGCTGGGAGCACTTCGGGAGAGTGACCCCTGAGGTCAGAGGTTCCTAGGAAGTGGGAGAAGTGGGAGCCCTTTGGGGTCGAATGCATGCTGGGGGCGGGTCCCAGGGGAGGGGCATCCTGCAGTGAGAATGAGAGCATGCAGCCATCGTGGCTTGTGCACCAGCCAGTCTGGTCAGGCCGCCTGGAGACACAGGAGGTGTCCAGCTCAGCATCAGCCTTGGCTACGGCCACATTTTCTCCCCACTGAGTCCCTGTCACGTCAGCCGAAAGCAGTGGTTCTCAACCTGTGGGTCGCGACCCCTTTGGGGTCGAATGACCCTTTCACAGGGGTTGCCTAAGACCATTGGAAAACACATATATAATTACATGTTGTTTTTGTGATTAATCACTATGCTTTAATTATGTTCAGTTTGTAGCAATGAAAATACATCCTGCATATCAGATATTTACATTACGATTCAGAACAGTAGCAAAATTACAGATATGAAGTAGCAACGAAAATAATTGTATGGTTGGGGGTGACCCCAACATGAGGAACTGTATTAAAGGATCGCGGCATTAGGAAGGTTGAGAATCACTGGCCTACAGGGATAGGAGCAACCAAGTATTTGCAGGGAGACAAATGCAGCTGCTTAAGGTCCTCCACCCACTGGCTCCCTGGAGGGGCCCGGCTCCAGTGGCCCCAGTGGTGGCTTGGTCGTGCCCCAAAGCCCCCTCCATCCATGCGCCTAGCCTGGGGGTGAGTGAGACCACAAGCAGCACTGCATCTGCGCAGCTCCCCACAGCCCCCCAGGGTCCCAGAGTCCTTGGTGGTGGGCAGTGGGCAGTGGGCAGGTGGCCTGAGTCCAGCGGCTCTTGGCCCTCCCAGCCACGGGAGCTAAGACTCAGAGTGGTTACGTGGGGCCCTTCCCCCGGGCCTCAGCAGCCTCATCTGTGCAATGGGCCAGTTGTTCCTCACCCTCGCTGGCAGGAGAAAGCCAGGGGCCGAGGACAGGTGGAGACTGACAGGAGCCGAGATGCACCCCAAGGCTGCTAAAGCCCCTTCCTGGACCAGCCCCCCACTTCCTTGCACGGGCTGGCAAGGGCCTTTCGGGGCACACATTTCTGTGCAGGCTGCTGTAGTTCCACAGCCTCTTCACCCTCTGCCAGGCAAAACCCACACCCCTTTGCTCTGCCCTGGCTTCTCAGAGGCTCCCAGGGCCACTGCCCCAGATACGCCAGCCCTGTTAGCCCCAAACTTATTGGAGGTGCGAGGGTGGAGGCAGGCTGAGGGGCTTTTTAGGGGTGCTACTGTTTCCTACGTGAGGCCAGAACCCCAAACCACAGCTCACCTACACCTGACTCCTCCTGGGCCCCAGTAGCTCCCATGGGCCCCAGGAGGGGTGGGGAGGCCGCAGGAAGGGGCAGACCTGGGGCAGGGGCTCTGCTGTAAGAGTTCTTGAGTGTAATACCCTCAGGCCTCCAGGGGATGGGACAGGGAGATTTGGACCAGAAGGTCCTGGATGGGGACACAGACCCACATTAGTTCCCGCGGACCTTCACCCCTGCCCTTCCTCCTCTGAGGCCGACTCCCTGATGCTGGGAAAACCTTACAGACATCATCGTGACCATCAGAGCAGTAATCATAGGGGAGCACTGACTGTGGGCCAGGCTCTTGGCTGGGCTCAGGGTACAAGAGGAAACCAAAATCAGACATAGTCCCTACCTTCCCAAGCATAAGATATAATGGGGGAGAGACACTGATCAAAGGATCACCCCAATAAATGTATGCCACGTGAGACAGCTGATAATACCATGTTGGGAAATCCAGGAGGGCTTCCCTGAGGAAGTGACCCAAGCTGAGATTCCCAGAAAGCATAGGAATTTACTCAGCCAAGGAATAAGACCATTCCAGGCAGAGGAAGCAGCATGGGAAAGGCCCTGCCGTGGAAGAAAGCATGGGGAACCCACACAAGGCCTGGACCCAAGTGGGAGGGTTTGGGGTGGATCAGAGCACAGGGGCCTTGCTTATTGGTGCCCTGAGAAGAGTGTGGAGGGCATATTTATGCCCATTTCACAGGTGAGCACACTGGGGCTCCAGGACTTCGTAGAACTTCCTGACCAAAATCCATGATGGTTGGGCAGAGTCTTGGAGAGTGAAATCATGGCCATCTGCCAGGCAGGAAGCAGGACAGGGACCACCCTTAACGTTTTGCTTGCTCACTTATTCCCCCCAGCATCCTCGTGCGGTAGGTGTTCTCGTTCTTATTTTCAGCTGAGAGAATGGAAAATCAGAGAGGTTTAGTAACTTCTTCCAAAATCGCACAGCTAGTAAGTGGAAGTGGTGGTGTTGGTCCTACTGTGAAGCTTGTTGCCTTGTGGTTTGGGGCTGGGTTTTTTTGTTGGCTCTTTTTTGGTTGTTGGTGGTTGTTTTTTTTAAGATTTTTTATTGATTTTTAGAGAGAAAGGAAGGGGGAGGGAGAGAATAAAATGTGAAAGTGAAACATCCGATCAGTTGCCTCCTGCATGCCCCCTCCAGGGATGGAGCCCACAACCCGGGCATGTGCCCTGACAGGGAATCGAACTGGCAGCCTTTCGGTGCATGGGATGACACCCACCAACAGCCACACCACCAGAGTGCCTTGTGTTTTTATTTATTTTTTAATATATTTTTATTAATTTCTGGGAGGAAGGGAGTGGGAGAGAGAGAGAGAAACATCAATGATGAGAAAGAATCATTGATCAGCTGCCTCCTGCATGCCCCACACCGGGGATTGAGCCCAGAACCCAGGCATGTGCCCTTGACCAGAATCAAACCCAGGACCCTTCATCCTCAGGCCAATGCTCTATCCACTGAGCCAAACCGG